CACTGGGATCAACTCTCCCCACCTCTGATGTCCTCCTCTCATGCATTTCTGTCAAACTCCTGTCTCTCAACCTGCCTTTACCTACCTCACCACCGCTATTTGCAGCCCCCTGCTGGTAACCGATGGGTCAGGCTGTGGTTCTAGAACTCCAAGAGCAGTCTGGACTTGACGATACCCACCCTGGCTGGGGGGTTCAGACACTTTTCCCTAAGGGGGTCCCAGAACCCATGACCAGCCCAGAGGAGCTACCTTGACAGCTGCTACTAGTTGCAGAAGCTTGTATGCAGCAGTCATTCGACCCCCAGCTGCCAGGATCGTAGCACCAGGTGGGCAGTTGGTCCTTAGCTGTACAAAACGGTCAAAAGACTAGGACTTTTTGTAACAGGAGGTCCTAGAAAACCTCATGGCAAATGTGAATTCTTCCAAGATGCAGGCACAGGTGAGCATGGGCTCTCGGGGCTTTGATACCACACGACAAGCTGACTCGCCTAGAAGTCACCTGGAACAGCAGGGATGATTTGGGCCTGATGAGCCTCAGTCAACAGTTTCTGTTTCCCTGCAGCCTGTTAAGGCATTTGGTGCACTAGGGAGCTGACATTCTCAGGACAGGACCCGGGGCTGGAGACAACCGGATGCACTAAAATGCTGCAGGCCCAAGGTCAAGCTGGGCCTGATGGAAGCCGGCTCTAATAGCTCCGGCCTCCTAGCCTAGGCTGTGCTGTAAACAGACCAGAAAAGAGATCCAGAGTACAGAGAAGTTCCTTCTGTGATTAGAAAAAAGATAAAACAAAGATGCCTTCACACATAATTAATGAGGACCCAACTGCTAGTGCAATAATAATAATAATAATAATAATATTACATAAGAATAATAAACTGTTCCTACAAATTACCTGGTCAAACCAACATCTTAGATTTTCTCCTGTCACTTCACCAGCTCTCAAATGTCAAGGATGATTGGCATTTTCTCCTCATACTGTATAACCACTAGGGAGAGCATGTTAAGGTGATAATGCAGCTGCTTAAAAAGCAGAAGCCGAGCGTGCTGGAACACAGCCACCCCCCCATCCCTCATGCTGGAACACCCCTACTGCAGCGTCTGAAGTCCTCACCCTGTCACCTCTTAAGCCACGACACTTACACCCTCAGGTTACTGGGCAGCTGCCCTTCCCTTCAACTCCACCATTGATTCCCCAAGCAGAGAGGACTTGATAACACAAAACTCTGCCCTTGGGGAGGTGGGCTGCCAATTGAGAGAACTCTCTGGTGCCAAGGGGAAGACTGGGGTCCAGAATGCAGCCCAGCTTGCTGTGCCTGTTGTGTGCATTCAGCTGTAGTGACTTTCTGGTCTTCGTAAGAGTTCGTAACCTTGTGTACCTTCAGTTTGGCAGAAGGCATGGCAGCCTTGCACCATCGGGCTTGGCGTCTCACAAAGTTCATTCATTTACCCACTTACTCACTCACTGGTATTTCTTGAGCATCTATAGCATGCTAAACTCTATGCCAGGTACAGGGTGTGAGTGTTGCAAAGTCAGATGCAATCTCTGTGTTTATGGGCCTCTGCTCAAGAGCAAGGAGGCCATGGTCAGCCAGTGTCACAAGTGGACGATCATGGAAGATAAGGACCGTGACAGAAAAGAACACGGGGCTTAGAGAACCTGTGAGTAATGGCCAAGCCTGACCTGATGAAAGAGGTGAGGCAGGGCTTTCCTGGGGAAGTGTCATTTTGCTGAGCTCTGAAGGCTGAGCGGGACTTCACTGGATGTCACACAGCCCTGGGGTCGGGAGTGGGTGAGAGGGAAGAGTGAGGAGCATCCCTGGCAGTGGCAGGACGCTGGGGCAGAGGGAACACCGCAAGTGTCAGGAGGCCAATGCCCCCGGAGCTAGGAGGGTGGAGGGAGCAGTTCCGGACTCTAGATCTTTGCCTTTATTCTAAGCCAGGAGAAGACACTAAGGAGAGGTCTAATATGGTCAGATTTGTGTTTTGATAAAGGTCACTCTGGCTACAGAGTAGAGAATGCATAATCAGGACGCTGGAGTGGAATGAGAAGACAAAAATAATCCGCTCACCTCCCTAAAGCATAGGACCTGCTACCCATCATCAAATTTTGGGTGTTGGGAAGTTGAACATTTATTTATGCTTTTATTCAAAAATTAATCTCTGCAGAGAGGGCAGGGGGAAAATCACTAAAAGAAACCATTCACATATTGCACTTCTGTCTGGATCACTGAAAAACCTCCCTCTTTAACACTCTCTATCGTCCAGACCCTGCTTGTAGGGGGCTTTTCAGGACAGTTTCATACTATACAAAGAGCACTGGGCTAGGAGTTCAGAGACCTGAATTCCCACCTTGGCCTCTCCTCCAGATCAATTTCCCTGCCTACTTAGCTTTCTTATAATGGCTTTTGAGGATCTGCTAAGATGATAGAGGAAAAAAGAGCAGATAAATGCAAGGGCTCCCAGCATGCTGTTCCTTTTACGAAGGGTATTATATAAGTAGCGTTTCATAAATTTTAAATATAGTTTATTATATGATTTGGTTGATAAATACCAAAGTATATATCGTTCTTCTGAAGCTCTCAATAAGGACAAGGCGATCTGTCGTTTGCTGTTTTATTCAACCCTGAAAGTTCACATTTTTGGCATCAGGAAGAGTGACATTGGTTAGGATGAGCACGATGGTGTTCCACTTTCTGATTCTTCTTCTCAGGGAGTGGGCTCATCTTGCTGGCAGGACCTGCTACTCTAAGTTAGGAAACACCTACCCTTTTCTTCTTGTGAAAGGTAAGCTGATACCTGTGATGTTTCCAGGGCAGAGATCCTTTCAACTGTGAACACATTTATCTATGAAGAGTCTTCTGCTTGATTTGGTGGGTCAGGGACTATGGTGGCCCCAGGGCTCTGAAACCTCCATACAGATGATACCTTAAAGCCAGTTCGAAGCAGCCCTATGTCCAGGAGAGTGGGGGTGGGTGGGTGGGGGGAATAGTCTCAGCTCATTGGTTTCCTATGTATTCATTCTCTGTCTTAGGGAGTTTTTTGTTTTTGTTTTTGTTTTTTTTTGTTGTTGTTTTGTTTTGTTTCGTCTTAGGGAGTTTTTGAGTAACATTTTCACACTTAGCAGTCACAAGGGGCAAGGGAGCTTCATTTCCACAAGATGACAGAGATTCTGAAAATCCATCGTGGAACTAAGCCTCTCATTCTCCGCTAGGAAAAATACATGCTTGGATTTCAAAGGAAACCCTGAGTTCTTTATGGTTCTATCCTCCTCCTTCAGCATCAGCTTCTTTCTGCCTCTTCTAGTGATAATTAAACATGAGAAGTCGGCTGTGTGATCTCAGGCGACAGCTTTTAAAGAGGGTCTGGATTTAAAGAAAGAGACCAGTCCTGCGTGGGGCTTTTGAACGAGAGCTAAGCGTCTCACATCTGGTGCCTTCTCATGTCAGGTAGCCTGGGGTTGGTAGATGCCTGCAGAAGGAACAAATGGCCAACTGGTTTGCCGGGTCTCTTGGGATGCCTTTAATTTGGGCTACCATGTAATGGTTTTATTTTCTTAATTCTATTATGTTGTGGGAGGGAAGTTATTCGCAATGTACCGGGAACTATTTTAATCAGAATGTATCCTCATTATTAAGCCTCTACCTGCCCAGAAAAGGGTCACGTGGGTCAAGAAAAATAAGGAAGATTAGACTTCAATCCAAATCAATCCAGTGATGTCCAGGGTTGGTTGCAAGTTTGGTTGGCTTTGCCTTCGTTATTTAGTGAATGCTCCTTTGCAGCTGGGATTGTTACAAAGGCCATTCCCAGAAAGAGGAGGACTGGTCTTGCAGTTAGGGCTGCAGAAGCCATGGCATCTCCTTATTGGAAGTTCTTCTTCAGGTGCTGGGATTAAATTCTATACAATTGCTGCCCATGTAATACCCCAGCAGTGGGGACTTGGTGATAGAAAAGGTATAGTCCGTGCTCTGAAAATGTCTTAAAAATATCTTGTGTTACACATCACTTATAAAGCCCTTTGCCATACATTATCTCATTTAATTCTCAAACCATTAAGAAAGCCAAATAGGAATTATTATTTTCATTTTCAAGATAAAGAAACAGAGAGCTTCTGGGAATTGCTCAGTGTCGCACAGCTGGGGTTGGAAGCCAAGGCCTTTGTCTCTACAATGGCCAGTCTATTCTCCACATGCCCAGAAATCAGAAATGGGTTGGGCTTTCCCAGACTGGCCATTAAGTTTATTGAATATATCCTACAGCCACAGCTGCAGGACACACCATGCTTATCAGCAAATCTGATAGCATAAGACTCCATCTGTGTTTTTCTAGCGAGAATCATTTGGTAAAAATTACTGCCGGTGGTGATATAATCCTATTATATACATTAATTGCTTCCAGATTCTTAAAGAATTTATGGTGGCCTGTTGCACCACTTATACCTAAAACAAGAGCCTGGCCACATCTTATTCGCTACTCCCCCCCTCCCCCCGACACTATGATAGAGGCCATCAGAAGTGAAAGGGGAGCCCTGGGATCAAAGAGGCAAGAAATCGTTAGGAATATCAAGTGTGGGTCTTCCCTACGGGCTCTAAACCCAAATGTGAAGACTGGCCAGGAAAGTCAGCAGGTGACATACCCCAGGTGGGGCAGAGGGTGAACTGGAGAATGTGTGCTCCTTCTAAAAGGACACCTAATGCCCAGCATCAGCTGATAGTTGTCATGCTTCCAATCAAACCCAAGGTTGTCAGATCTTAAGGTGTTTTTCTAAGAGAATCTGGAAATCTAGAATCTTACACAAATTCTTCTGATTGAATTGTTACATATTAATGGCTGATTCAGACATTTTTAAGCCTATGTGGGTCAAAACCAAACCAAACAAATCACTCAATCCTGTGATTCTCTTTTGCAACCTTTTCTCATTATATTTGTAAGTAAATAATTTTTAGAAGAAATGCACCAGGATATAAAGATCTGGTTAGAAACATTTTTATTACCAGCAGTGTCCTACATCTTTCCCACATTTGTGAGAAAGACAGCCTCTTGGAGCCAGGGTGTATACAGAGCTTTGAAATTACCACTTTCAGGCAAGATCTGTTTGAATATCCACCTTTCTTTTTTTGAACAACAATTTTTGCCTTTCCGCATGTCCATGATCTGGTGATAAGGCCCTCCTGCAAAGGCTTCCCATGGCATCCACAGATAGCAGGCTGGGGTAGGTGTTACATGGAGGTTCTTGTTCAGTAGCAAACTCTGCATCTTTCCTTCCCATCCAAGAAAGCATATGAGGGTCTAAGTAAGTGAGAATGCTAAAAATATAGGAGTGGCCTTCCACTGGCCTTAATTTTTTAAGAAGTAAATTCATCTCAAACAATATCCTACCTATCATTAGTAATGGTTCACTTGTGACACAGCTCACAGATTTCAGGACAACATGGTTAAGAGATGTTTTAAAAAATGAAAACAAATAGGATATAATTGTAAGCGTCTCAGTAGACCAGCACTCCTTATCTCTGGTATTTTCAGCCAAGGCATGGTTGGTTGGGTTGACTCCTCCAGTTCATTTACCTTTATGGTATCAGTAACAAGGGCCTTAGAAATGTCACCAGAGACACCTGCTCTTGAGGAAAGATAAAGAGATAAAAGACCATGTTCTCCAAAGCAATCAGTGAGTCTGTACCCAAACATTCTCACCTCCTTAAATGGCAACAGGGAGTCCCCACTTGAACTGCTGTTTGGATGATGTGGAGTCAAGTCCTGCCCACCAGCATAAACCGAGAAAAATAGCACTTCCATGCTGTTCTTGTTCTTTGCTCCATAGATTGATCCAGAAGATGCAGAAGCTGCGCACTAGAGCTTTCCCTGTTACCTCCTAATTTAGAATGACCTGTTTCCTTTCCACTGCATTAGAAAATGACAACTCAAGGGGCGGGAATAGAAACAGATTCAAGAAAGAGGAAAGAGACAAGGAGGTGACTGGCAATCTGATATAGTATGCCTCTTGGGGGAAAGGTGTCTGGATCTCAAAGGCAGACTATCACAAAATGAGAGCAGAAGCAAGTCTATTTTTTTTCTAGGTCACCACAGGGAACCAGTCTAACCTATTTACAGGTGGTCTCAGGGGAACTCTCTTTAAATAGCTATCTTGTCACCATCCTTTTCGTCATCTTCCATGATCACCTTGGGTCCTTCATCTCTGAGCAGTGTCACACCTGCAAAACAAAGCACCAATCTGCAATTAAGTGCCTCTAATTAAAATATTAGACAACCTTTCTGCATAGACACAGCACACAGGAGCATGGCAACCCAGAAACCCTTTAGCATCTGCAGAGCCAAGAGTTAAAGGTGCCAACTGAGTGAGGGAGTGGAATGCCTTTGGCCCGCCCAGAGGAGCTGGGACTCAATGAGGCAGCATTCTGGTGACCAGAAGCCCCTCAACCTAGGAGTCAGAGGCAACTTTTACCTCTGATTTACAGTCTGCGTTTAAGCTTACAGCACAGGAGGATGAAAACAAACAGGTTTGGGAGTCCACTTGTTGTGGACCTCTTATTCTGCTACTCCCTCAGTCTGTGTTGGGCCAATTAACACTTTCACACCTGAATTTTCCTGGATATAAAATGAGCATGCTGGTTTTGTGCCAATTGAAGGAGAAGCGCAGACAGTGTTGAGTGCAGCATCACCCTGTGAGCACCAAGTCCCTTCCCGTTCCTTTCACATTTGCTAGTTCAGTTCTTTGAAAAGAAGGGTCACTCATATGTGGAATATAAGAAAATAGTGAAAGGGACCATAAGGGAAGGGGGAAAACTGAGTGGGGAAAAATTAGAGAGGGAGACAAACCATGAGAGACTCCTAACTCTGGAAAACAAACAGAAGGGGAGGTGGGTGGCTGGGTGACGGGCACTAAGAAGGGCACAATGAGATGAGCACTGGGTATTATACTATATGTTGGCAAATTGAATTTAAATACAATGAAATAAAATAATTTAAAAAATTAAGAAAAGAATGGGTCAGTAGCATGAAACCAAAATTAAATACATTTTACTAACATCTGGGGGAAATATTGAGCTGAGGCTCTGAACATGCCATTCCTGAATGTCAGTACTGGTAGGTGATAAAGTTTACATTGTTCAGAGGAAAAGGAGAAATTTAAGAAAGTGCTGTGAGTTTTAATAAAGTTCTGTGGTTGCAATTTAAAAAGGTTGTTTTTTATTTTGAGATGATTCTTTTTATTTCTTCTTTGGGGGTTAAAATATCCTTTATTTTCTGAAATTTTAGGAGCATCAGGTGTTTTTTTTTTTTTTTTGCATCCTTACTACACAGAATTCAAAGTTGCTATCCCTATGTTGGGCTCCAATATATTTTGCTTTTTAAAAGTTTGCTGGTTGTTGAACTTTAGAAGACTGAGCACAATATTCTGGACTGATCAGCCCAGTTAAGATCATCCAAGGAGGTCTAGGTGGTTCTGCTCATCCTGTCAATTGTAAAGTAGGGTCATTATAATAAAAAGATAAAGGAAGCTATGGTTCAAGGCCAGTCCTCCATGATTTCTGTCCATCTACTTCAGCCAACCACCACTGCCTTGCATCGCCCCCACCGTCTCATAATTAGAGACCTTTCAGTTCATTAAGCATTTCATAAAGATCTAAACATGAGGGTAGAAAGCTGTGCACCACAAGAGGCCTTTCTACAACACTGGACTCCATTCAACGGCAGCAAATTAATGAAAACTATGTGTTGATCTTAATGACTATTCATTTGATTCAGTTCCTAGTTTGTTCATATGGTTTTTTTTTTTTTTAACCAATTAGCAGATATTTAATGGAGGAGAAAAACAATTTCAAGAGTCTGGTTGAAAATGAGGATTTTGCATAAATCACTTATGAAACACAGTGGGAGATATTTTCTCTTCTACCAGCTGCAAAGAGGTTTGGATTTTCATTTGGAAAGAAGGTTAGCATGGGAAGAGAACAGAGAGTTAACTATGCTAAACCCCCAAACTTACTATCCTAATTCTCTTTGATATCTTTTCACATTAAGCCAAAATTTGAGTTGATTCAAAGTAGGCAAGAGCATTTAAATTCCCAGATCCTAGTCAACTTTCTGATTATTTGGGGTATCCTTGAAACCTAGTCAGATGAGCATCTGGGTCAAAAAAAAAAAAAAAAGTCCTGGGATTTCAGGGAAGGGAAGATCCTGTTTAGCCACCAAGGTCAACCCTTCCCAAAGTAGGCTAGGCTTTCCACAGGGACATGGGAGATCTTCAAGTAGAAAGTGAACTAATATTTATATTAGTAGAATTAAGCATTATTTTTAGCATCTTACAATGAAGAATACATATGGTAGCTCATGAAAATCCTGATTTCATGGCTGTGACTGTGCAGGGTGAAGCTGAAATCGGTAGCATGTATGTCATCACTGTATTTTTACTCTTGATAGTTCAAATCATCAACTTTGTTCCTTTGAAGATGAATGAGGTTTGATAAACATGGGTAGTTTAACCCAGTCTTGATCCTCTGTTCTCCTGTGGGAAACAGACATGTCATTGAAGGAATGAGGTCTAGAGCCAGAAGTTTTGCCTTAACTTGGTGGTCATTTAACTTTGAGCAAGTCACTTAACCTGTCTGAGCTTCAGTTAATTCATCTGCGAAACTGGAGGAAAAATAAATCCTATCTCCCTCAGGGAGTGATGCTGCCAGGTAGATTTAGACCAATATTCGTTTATACTTCAAGCACACTTTTACATGAACCTCCATTAACGCACATATCACTTTGTAGGAATCATTGGGTAACATATCCATCTCCCCTACCAAATCTTGAGGTTCTTAAAGGGTATTATTCTATGATCTATCACAGGGTGTGGGGTACAGTAGGGATTTAGAAAATGTCAATTTCTACCTTTCCACTCTCTGCGTAGGAGACTTTATGGAACTTGGCTGTTTGTTAGAACCAGGTATGTTTTTAAGGCCAAAGCTGTCAGTCCCAAGTCTCTAAGGGTCAACCAATTAGACTTGCAGCAAGCTGTTTTAGGCCATGATCCCATTCAGAGCTGGTCACCTGCATTAAAGATGTATGCCTCTGATCTAAGGGAGCCGAGGCTAAGACACCACCTGTCTTGGTAAGCCACATGAGAGAGAACACTCTTCCCAGCAGAATAGAAGCGGTGTCACTTTTAAAGGACATAACAGTCCCCTTTTTACAAGTACATTATTGAGCTTTGATCTCCAAATATTCATAGCTTATGGGCCAATTATCCAGCAGGCTTTGTTTCAGTGCTTCTGGCCTCATTATTCTTTACTTTCTTTGGCTCCCTTTGCCACAGACCTTAACTAAAGACTTCTTTTTCTTTTAAGCAAGTCTAGGCTACTCAGATCTCTCTAATCACAACCCAGTACACCCTGCCGTGTAGTCACCAAGATGGGGGGCCCTGGAAAATGTGGGCCAAGTTGGGAACAAACCTTGGGTTGGCAAGGAAGCCAGAGATGACTCCTCACTGAGGAGTTGTCTGGCAGTTGCAACTTGTCAAATAAGCTCATTAACCTAGGGGAATGAAGGTAGTTAGCAAGAGATTTAGAAGAGAGAGATAATCCTTGTCCAGTCTTCAGTTGCCAAGGGCTAATGAGAGGAGATGTCTCCAGAGTGCATTTGTCTGTGAGTTCCTCTCAACACCCTTATTAGAACCAATATGAGTCTCTCTGAACATCTGCCGAAGGCTCTATCCTTATCAGCTTAACTAGCATTTCGATTACTGCCAAATCTTTAGATACTAAAAGGCTCTTCAAAAATAAAGTGCTCCAGCTAATATGCTAATAAAAGCTAGACTCATAGAACAACATCTATAATTGCAAATATAACACAGAGATTTGCTGATTCAAAGAATTCCATAATGTGATTAGAGTCCACGGATATACAGCCTCTCTCTCCAGCTCTGTGTACTTCACCCTGTTTGAGAAACATTTTTTTTTCATTCAACTGGGAAGCTGATCTCTGAAGATAGAGATATTGTGATGCAGGCAGCATCTGTTGCCAGATAAATAGAGCTCAACATTTTAGGAAGTACCCTGAATCAGTAGATTTATATAGAGAGGTAAAACATTGCAGCTAGGAAGATTCTCACCTTTAGAAATGGTTTAATTCATCTCAAGGAACATAAGGTTGAGAGGAATGGAGGGGAACTAACATTTATTGAAGACTTTCAAAAATCCAGGATCTGTACTAAGTGCTTTATGTGCTTTATTTAATTATGTTAACAATCCTGGGAGACAGATTTTTCGGTCTTCCTTACAGAGATGGATGAAATGAAGGAGGCTCTTTTGTTTGTGCAGTTGCCCAGGGTCACAAAGCTAGAATGAGCAAAACCAGAAATTAAACTTAGACCTTTCTGACTCCAAAGTCCATCTTCAATGCTGTGTGCTACGGTGACTCTCTGTCCATACATATTTTTGTTTTACTAAGTCTTCCCCTAGGAGGACTTCAATAAAAACAAATACAAGAATGGGTAAGAAACAGGGTCTCCTAATGAAGAACTTGGAACTGCAGAATTGTGATTGCCAAATAGAATATCAAATCCATGGATATTTATTGAGCATTGCTATATAGAAGGGACTGGACTAGATGTCAAGGTTAATATCAGCAACATAGAGCAACCGCAGACCAGTTCTCATGAATTCATCAAATGTAAGTCAATGTAAAGAACAGCTGTAGCTGTTCTTGGAAACAAAAGCCATAAAAGACTATGCTGGAAGAGATGACAAAGTTTGGTATTGACCTGCCCATGTCTACTACAGAGTTAGTTCAGAATAGAAAAGGATCATTTTGGACCTAGAGGAGTCTTTTAGCAGAGACTTTGAGCTGACTGTCTTGAAAGGTAACTGGAAGCAGGACAGAGGCAGAGCTTGGGGGAAACGTGTGATGGGTTGGAGGATCAGTGCAGTAGGGACGCTTGTAGCTCGCGAACAGCATGTTTGAGGCAGTTCAGATCCTGCCAGTTGGTCCTCGATCTATTTCTCCAGAGAAGTCCCTCCTCATGCTCCAGTCCTCCTTGCTTGGCTCTGCCCCACAGAAATCAGTAGCCCTTGTCTGCTGCACCTGACTGCCTATTCATGATGTCTTCTTCTGAGCCTTCTTTCCATTTTTTCTTTATTAAATAAAACAATGGGGAAACACAGTTCTATAACGACAAAATCTCATCTCCTCCCAAAGTGTCCCTTCTGGATTACCCTAGTGCTGCAAATCCCAACTATTCCACAGTATGGTGAAAAGTTGCCCACAGGTGAGACAGCCCTGGATTTAAGCCTCAGCTCTATGACATCATGGGGTTTAATCTTGAACATAATTTGGTCCATTTATCTGTCCACCTAATCATCCCATTATCAATCCATCAAGCAGCCAAGCAGCTATCCATCCATCAATGCCATCCACAGAAGACTTTAAGTGACTTACATTCTTTCAGTGTCTTTATCTATATAGGGAATTAATCGCTACTTTCTTGTGCTATTCAGCTGATTTTAAAAAATCTGTGAGACATACCAAACTCAGTACCTAATATTTAGTAGGCTCTCCATAAACATTAGTACATTTTCTTCCCTGCCACTCCTCTCCAAATATCTATATAAAAGACACACACACACACACACACACACACACACACACACACACCCCACACACACCCCACACACATACTCAGTCTTATTATACTCTAATAATGACCATATACTTCTTATTCCCTAATATCTACATAAAATTCTCAGGAATAAGACTATGTTCACATACTGGCTGCTGTAAAGCCTTGTGCACATACTTCAGCAAGATTTTTGGGTTTAATTTGACACATGTTAAGATATCTTTCATTAAGATGATACTTTCAGGATCAAAAAATATAAAATCTTGCCATTTGCAATTGTGGATGTAACTAGAAGGTATTATGCTAAGCGAAATAAGTCAGAGAAAGACAATTATCATATGATCTCACTCATATGTGGAATTTAAGAAACAAAACAGAAAATCATAGGGGAAGACAGGGAAAAATAAAACAAGATGAAATCAGACAGGGAGATAAACCATAAGAGACTCTTAATCATAAGAAATGAATTGAGGGTTGCTGGAGGGGAGGTGGTGGAGGATATGGGGTAACTAGGTGATGGATATTAAGTAGAGCATGTGATGTAATGAGCACTGGGTGTTACATAAGATCGATGAATTACTGACCTCTACCTCTGAAACTAATAATACATTATATGTTAATTAATTGAATTTAAATTTAAAAATAAACATTTTTATTATGGGAATTTTCAAAATAGAAGTACATAATAATTATTAACATTTTATCAGTTTTGTTTTACCTAGTTGTCTTTATTTTTCATTTTGTAAAGCGAATTCCCTATAACACGTCTGTATGTATCTCTAACACTAAAAGCTTTTTAAAACCATAACTAAACTGTCATTATCATATCTGACAAAATTAACAATAAATACTCAATTTCATCCGAAAAAAAGGTGATATTTTCAGAGATCATGTCTATAGTTTGTTACTAAAGTTAGCTCTCACTATTTCCGCATCTCCCTTTCTCTCCCTCTCCCTCTCTCTCTTGTTTTGAAGACTTGGTCAGTATATCCAGCCAGGTGTCTTGGGAGAATCAGCCATCAGTTGTAGGGTGCATGATCCATAGAAGGCTGGGGAAGAGGGTACCCCAGCTCTTTTCAAGGACCCACTGACATTTCTATTTCATGGCTCAGTGAATCTGACCAGTTCTGCTGAAGCATGAGTAATGCTTTGAACCTCCCCAGCTCCGAGTCAGCCCTGGGGGAGCTGCCAGTGAAGGTAAGCCTGAAAGGCAGCATAAATGCTGCTCCCCCCACAGAGCGCTTCTGTGTGACACAGATTGCTGGGCCAGGACAGAGGCCATGCCCGTGGCACCTCCAGATGGTAAGGCTCTTGACCTGTTCCCATCACCCCCTGCAAATACCTTGCACCAGCTCTTTTACCTGCTGCAAAGGGGGACACGTGCAGGGCAGGTGTGTCTTTTCTCCTTGGTTTTTTCTGGTCCAGGTCAGAGTTATGAAGAGCTGGACTCATTTTGCCCTTTGGGTGTATCTCTTGAATGTCGTAGCTTTTAATTAAATGTTCTGAAAGCACACCTGCATGGTTGGGGAACAGAGGGAGAAACAGGGTCAAATACATACATCCTAATACATAAGGTCTATGCATTCATGTTTGCACATATACCTAGTGATGGTAATCAATATATCTTTCAGACTTATTTTAAGAAAAGCTTTTTTATATTAGGAATTAGTATCTATTGAAGTGACACAAAGGGTTTTGCAGGCCTGATTTTATTTTAGCCTCACAAAGCCCCGAGGAATTTAATATTACGACCACCATCACACATCTGAGGAAAGTGAGGCAAAGAAATGTGCCCACGGTAACACAGCTCGCAGGGGTCAGAGCCAGGAAGCGAGCCCAGGTCTGTCCACCTCTGGGGTCCATCCTCCTTAGGGCAATGGATCATTTGCTGCTCTGCAAGCCACATGCTACGGTCTTCGGTGACTTGCCACCTTCTCACCTCTCTCCCATGTGAAATTTCTCTCCAACGTTTAGCAACTCTCTGCAAACAATCTCCTCAATCCAACTGTCCATGATTCACTGCCCAGGCTGAGCTCCCAGGGTCCTTCTGTAAGGACCTCGTTACAGCCTTCCTGCTCACTGCATATTTCAGCCAGTTACGTGCTTCCATTATTTCTTATAAAACTAAAAGCTCTTTCCCAGAAAGCTCAGTGTTCTCTTTGTTTTGTATCCCTCCAAGTGGGCTGTGAGTGGAGAGGACACTAAATAAATGGCCCAGAGGGAAGAAGAAAAGGAAATAAGAACAAATAAAACATTGGGGAAATGAGAGAGTCCCACATCACACACAAAGTTGTTATAGGGACACATTAGCTGTTCCCTAAACCATTTTGCTTTTCTGCTGGACACACAGCTGGGCTACCTTTTTCAGCCTCCCTTGCTGTCAGGTGAGGTTTGTGATGGAAGGAAGTGATATGTGTCACTTCCGGGCCTGCCAATCTTCCATTCTGTTCTTCCCACCATCCCCCGCCCCGCCCCTGTGCCCCTCATCCCCATGCCTGCTGGATGCTGATGCTCATGGTGACTTTGAAATCCAGGTGCTGGTGATGTCCAGATTGCCATCAGCCAGAGTCCCTGTAATTACTGTTTGGAGAAAAACCTGCCTCCTCAACTCGCACTAGTGATGACTGAAAAAAACCTTGTGTTGTGCCACTAACAATTTGGAATTCATTTGTTATAGCAGCTGACCTTATTGTAACGAAGACAGATGAAGGACTAGTACTCGTGATTTAAAAACACCCACATATTTAAGGAAAAAGTTGTAAGACCAATGTGATCTAGTGGCAATGGTTCCCCTTTACAGACATGCAAACTGACCTCATTGCCCTTTACCTGGTATAAAAGGTGGGATGTGCAGTGCTGGTGTGTCTTTCCTCCTCGGTTTTTTTTGCTCTGACTCAACATTCAGGGCAACCTGTACATTTTTCCCCTTTCTTGGCTTCTTATTGAGATCACAGTCTTTAATGAGCTGGTCTGAAAGGTCATCTGATTTTGATAGGATGCAAAGAAAAAAAAAGATAACATGAGTAAATGAACTGGTTGGTTTTCAATTACTTGCAGAAGCCATTTGGTCTGAAAAAAGAAAAATATTTATATATTTTGGCTTAGTCTATAGAGGACTTTAGTAGTGCTGCACAAATACATATAATAAAACAGAAAACTAGAATAGTCTGTAAAATTTCAAATAAAGAAAACTCAAATGGACAGATAATCAAAATGAAGAACTTTAAAATATAGTTAGGCAAGGCACAGAGTGGGTTTGAGTTAAATTTCCGATAGAACAGATTCTCTGTGCTAAACGCTCTTTCTTAATTTCCTTTGATCAAGGTTTTGTCTCTTGAAGACTCCATGGGCCAGTAGGGGACCCAGAATGCTCTTCAGTCTTGTAGTAACAAATTCTTCACCCTCCTTCATGTTTGGGGCCCGCTGGGTCATGCTGACCATGCACATTTGCCTTCAGCAGTCGTGTCTTCATTTACTTCCCCACTGCCGTTGCAATTCTCCTATTTGCTCATCCTCACTCCAGATCCTCTTGGCTTCTTACTCAGCTCTTTACCTTTCTCAGTCCCTGGAGCTTGTAAAGCTGGAATTCTACATCATGTCCATCAGATGTCAGTGTGTGTGATGAATCCAATCTGATCATTCCTCGCCCACGAAAGTATTTTCTCTGTTCCATCTGACTCCTCGATGCTTTTGCTGCTGATGTGCTTCTCTGAGCTTCTCTGTGGTTGTTCTAGACAATGACACTTCTTTGTTCTATAATGGCTTGTCTCCTGCTTTTGACAGAGCCTTCTTGGAGATTATTATATTCTTTTGATATTTTTATTCTTAATAGCCTCTGCCTCCAATAAATGCATATTGAATGGATTTAAGTGGAGTAGACTGATCTGAGTTCAGTTGATGACGTTATCACTTGGTAGTTCTGAAAACTTGGGCCTTAATTTCTAGAAACATTAATATTGCTTCAACTTTTAAAGTGGAGATAATGGGAACCCTGGGTGGCGCAGCGGTTTGGCGCCTGCCTTTGGCCCAGGGTGTGATCCTGGAGACCCGGGATCAAATCCCACGTCGGGCTCCTGGTGCATGGAGCCTGTTTCTCTCTCTCCCTCTGCCTATGTCTCTGCCTCTCTTCTCTCTCTCTCTCTCTGTGAGACTATAATAAATAAAAAAAAAATTAAAAAAAAATAAAGTGGAGATAATATTAAATCAGTGTGTGTGTGTGTGTGTGTGTGTCTGTGTGTATGACAGAGAGAGAGAGAGAGAGAGAGGACTAAATTTGTTAATGTTGGTAAAGCAGTTGTTTCATTTGATGTATTTCAGATCCTCAAAAGAATGTTCACTCTGGTCATTGCTCAGCCCCTAACCTTCTATAAGGTCCAAAGAAAAGCCCACCTTCCTGTCCCATTTCATAAGTCTTTCCCAGTCCTTTGTGTCCTTTCTCATTTTCAAGATATCCACAGGATTTTTGCTCAGGTAACACCTTTTTCTGCATATGTCTTTCTGCCTTCTTTGATGACAGATATTTTGTGTTTTATTTCCTTACAGAAATTAATAAATATCTGTTGAATGTATGCTTGAATGAATGAACTCAAACATGTTATGGGTAAGGAAATAGTCTGTTAGGGTTCAAAGAAGCCACAGAAAATGGAGTTACCTATCTTCTCTGGAAACTCACTAAGGCCTGGCTACAGTCTGGTACATCTACAACTGTGAATGGATTTTCAGAAATTAGAGATTAAATGGACCTTTCCAGCCCTTTTTCCTTCTTTTCTTCCTTCCTTCCTTCCTCCCTCCCTCCTTCCCTCTCTCCCTTCCTCCCTCCCTCCTTTCCTTCCTTCCTTCCTTCCTTCCTTCCTTCCTTCCTTCCTTCCTTCCTTCTCTTTTTTTTTAAGATTTATTTATTTTAGAGAGAGAGAGTGCATGAGTAATGAGGAGGGGCAGAGGGAGAGAATCTTCAAGCAGAATCCCTACTGAGTGAGGAGTCTGATGTGGGGCTCGATCACAGGACTCCCAAGATCATAACCTGAGCTGAAATTAAGAGTCAGATGCTTAACCAACTGAGCCACCTGGGTGTCCCTCTCTCTGTTTCTTTTTTATAAAAATATCTGGGTCAGTGTCTTTAAAATGTGGAGGTTTAAATGTGCCAAACATGTTCACTTCAGTTTTGTGGGTCTAGCTATATCCTGTGTCACTCATAATGTATTTATTCAACAAACATTGATGAAGCTCCTCCTCGATGCCGGGCCTTAAACGAGATTCTAGGACTAAAAAGACAAATGAATGGTTCTTCCTTTCAAGTTGCTAGGATCTAGTGAGCTTTATATCTGGACGGTCCTTTGTTTTATATACTCAGTATGCATGAGAAACCTACCATTAGAAATATTTAGCAACCATACATTATTATGCCTGCATCCTCCAAAGATCACAATACACAATCAAAAAATCAAATAGCACCATTCCCTTCAGCCATATCTAATAGAAATACATATTTCCTTTCACCTAAAGGATTTGAATAATTCAACCCAATCATTTCAATTTAATAAGCATCTATTGAGATCACACTATATGTAAGGTACTTAATCATATGCTTTTAAGTGTACAGATACAAAAAAAAAAGAGGTGAGGGGAAATTCCTTGAATATTGCTTATATACTAGATGATTTCATATCCTTCTAGTGTGTGGGAATGATGAACACTTTCTCTGGTTCATCAATGCTTGTGTTTTCCAGTTGTCAAATATTCATAGCACACCCTAAATACATTATCTTATTTAGTTCTCACATTAAGCCCACAAGGAAGTATACTATTATCACCAATTTGCAGATGAGGAAACTGAGATTTAGAAGGCAAGATGAAAGGCTAAAGGTCACATTACTGGCAGGTTATGGCATCAGGAGTAAGCCCAGGCTCTTGGGACTATGTTTCTTTTTTACTATTATTATTTTTCACTTAAAATTTTTTTTTATTTAAATTCAAGTTAGTTAACGTATACTGTATTATTAGTTTCAGGGCTAGAATTTAGTGATTCATTGGTTGCATAGAATACCCAGTGCTTATCACATCACATACCCTTCTTTTTTTTTTTTAAATATTTTATTTATTTATTCAAGAGAGAGAGGCAGAGAGAGAAGCAGAGAGAAGCAGGTTCCACACAGGGAGCCCGACATGGGATTTGATCCTGGGTCTCCAGGATCAGGCCCTGGGCCAAAGACAGTGCTAAACCGCTGCGCCACCCGGGCTGCCCTCACATGGCCTTTTTAATGTTCATCATCCAGTTACCCCATCCCCCTATGTTTTTCAACGCTTGACTGAAAATGAAATTTTAAAAATTTGTTGCCACGCATCACAGTTAATTTCCCCCTATATCATACTTACCACAGACATTTGTTGAATGAATTAATATCACTCAGACTGGGTGCTGCCCAGCTGTGGGATCTCTGGAAGTATAGGCTGGGTAGGGACCAGTCATGGGTCACCATTTCACCCTAAGATCCAACTCAGTGCACAGTACAGAGAGCAAGACATTTGCTTCAATTTTGACTTTTACTTTAATTGCACTTTTTCCCACTTTTGGAGAAATCTTGAACATAAACTATCTTGATGGCAAATGGGGAGAGAGGAGAGGAGGGGGGGAGTCATAACCAAGCAAGACATAAACAAAGGCTATGAATATGCAAAAGGCCCATCCATCAAAAGTCTGAGTGTCTCATTTTTAGAAATGGGTAGAGGCAGAAATGTTTCTGGTATTTTCATTACAAAGGTTATGCAAAAAGTCAGTTCTGGAAAGGAAACAGATTGACAATAAAGCAGAAAAAGGCTATTTAAAATTCTGTCTTGATAGGCAAAGAGAGATATTTGAAATATTTTATTGGCACTGCACATGGGGTTTAAGTGTGCCGGCAAATACTGGAAACAAGCTCTGCTGACACATTCCATTTATTGCCTCAAAAATGCTCTGCCTGGGACTCTGTCAGCCCCCCCCCCAAAAAGGACAATGCCTTTTCTCTCTTTTTTTAACCCTAATGAACCTCTCTCCAGTGCTTCAGCTAATATTTACAGGGCAGACCCCGCAAAGCCATGCTATTTGCCTGTCCATCTGGTGTTGGCTGCCACCAGAAGGTACAAACGATCAGGTTTCAGGGAGCCTCCCTCTGACTTGCCTGCAAACTGAATGGCAAGAGAATGACAGAGACATCTCCTTTCTGACTTCCACTACTGACATTCACCCTGGAGCATTTACCTAAGGGGTCACAGTGAGGGTCTAGCTTGTCCAGTCTGTCTTCTGAGAGCTCCAATGGCTGCATTTGCTCAGTGGACATCATCGGAGGAGGTATTTCTTCCCCAGCACTACAGGAATATAGGAACAGGACCATTAGTATGTCTTCTGTTCATTTGTTCACGTTTTAAATAAGCATATTTATTGAGCACTTACTATTGCATTCCCAATTTAATCCTATTTTTCAAATCTGCCTCTTGTACTTACCCACTAGGAACTCTAACTTAAGATTAAGTTAAAATAAACGAAACATACACATACACACAGATTTATTGGTAATCACCATGCATCAAATATTCAATATTTATCCTCTTTCAGAAACGCCGTGGGAGTTTCAGAATGAATACTTGTCAATTCTGAATTAGGAGTTAGCTGAGAATTAAAAAAAAATGTTGATTAAATCTTGTCTATATTTTCTGTTGAGTTCTGTGAAATAGGATTATTATGCCCACTTTGCAGACGAAGGAACCGAGGATCAGAAAATACAATTAATTAATGTAGTCACACAATTATTAAATAGCCAAGATCCAAGTTATTAAATAGCCTGGATCCAAATCCAGTTCTGAAGACTCATTAGACACCCAACACTCTCCAACAGTGATTCCTTTGAATCCAAATTGAACCAAGCTTCTGGCTCTCTATTGCATGTAGTATACAAGTGTATACATTACATGCTATAAAATAGCTATAAAATATAGGATATAGTATACAAATATATAATATAAAATAACTACCAGATATAGCATGTAATATATAAATGTATAATATAAAATAACTCTAATGAGCTTCCCTCTCTATCCATATTCTAGGCTGTAGAGACGTTGGTAGGAAAAACTCTAGCTCTTGAAATGGATCCTTATTATTTTCTCCCTAGAGATTTCTGACATTAGAGCAAATCTGTTTCCCCTTCTCTCATTTTTCCTAAACCACAAATCCATTGAACTTCTCAGAGCTATTAGTTGTAGTCATTGTCCAGGAGGAGTGGAAATCCAGAATGGACATGTGTCAGGTCTGAATGAGAAACGCATTAGTTGAGATTTATAGAATCCGATTCTGTTTCTTTTAGTTTATTAGTCATGTCCTATCATTATAAGAATGCTTAGAGAGGAATAAAATTAAAATGACCCAAACTGATCCTCTTTTCTTGAGATTCCTGGATCACTGGCATGTGGATGAACACAAAGGTGAGTTGTGTTAACATTTCGGGCTCTTAGACTTAGTCGTCTTCTGAAGAATAAGCCAGTTTTCTCTGGGTAGGCTGGAGGGCCTCTCCCCCTACGAGCTGGATGACTGCATAGCAAATGGAGCTATTAACAGATTACTTGAGCCCGGCTTTTAGTGTCACCCAGCAGACTGATTATACTGAGTGACTTTAGCAGAAATCAATTCTGACCATTGTTTTAGTTTTTGTATTGGGACTGCCAACTCCCCAGGACCATAAGGAAGTATTCTGTTCACCTGGGTGGCTAACCTCGGCCTGCTTGAGTGGAGAAGAAAGCTTTGGGACTCCCAGTCGGGATGACTGGGCTCAGCGCAGAGGTCTAGAGGCAAAGTTACAGTCTCAAGTAGGGCCTGTGCACCTACTTAACCGATCTTCCACCTTTTTGGGTAGAAAGTCATGGGCTCTGTCATTGACTTGATGCTGTAAATCACTCCATGGAGGACCTAGTCAAGAAATACTCATTCTCCAGAAGGAGAACTGAAGCTCAAAGAGATTGAAGTGACCTACTATTAGTTGCACACGTAGAGTCAGTGTGATCATTTGAACCCAGGCCTCCTGCCTTCTGCTTTAGGTCCTGCCTGGCAATGGGCCCCCTCTCCTTTCCTCTAACAGCAGTAAGCTGTTCTTTGTACTTGGATCATATGGGCTGCTCCTGTGCTCAATCGCGGGTTATTTAATTTGAATCTAAGCTTTCGGATTCCAATGGATCTAGATAAAATCTCAGCTCTCTAACTAAAAAGCTGTGTGACTTTGATGAAGTAACTACATTGTCATGGTGGAGTGAGGTAATTGGAGCCAAAGTATGATATAATCATATTTGCCCTTTCTGCCTACAAGCTATAGCTGTTATGATAGAATGAGCAAAGGCTAGCATCTTTGTGGTGCACCCACAGATGGACACCCAGGAATGTAGGTCCCTGTCTGTCCCCCTATCCCATTCTTACCTTCCCTTTTCTTATCTGTAACATAATAGTATGTACCTGACAGAGTTACCATAAAGGTTAAACAGAACAGCTCCCTTCTTCACACGTTGCAGGTACTGAGTACATGGCAGTCATTGTTCTGTAACATTAGTGTTACCATAACATGTGACTTAGCGAATGAAGACCTGCTTGTATAACCAAAAAGTACCAAAAAAAAAAATCAAATCTTTCATTTTCATCCAGATGCTGAGCCACAGGAGGGCCAGGCTTCATCTGAACAAAACGGCTTTCAGAGCCCTGGACTTGAGAGAGGGAAGCCTGCCCTTGGCAAGTGAATTGTGCAAGTGTGGAAGTCCCTGGACAAGGCCAGGAGACGTGCTTCTTTCCCAAGATAGCCCCTTAGTGTCCACGGTGGGGAAACAACACTATTTTCAACCAGTGTGACTGCAAGAATGCTGGTGATGGGCTGGCAAGCCTCCGTTGGCTACAGGGCTGAGAGATGGTTTGCAGATTTGGGATTTTTATAGCATAAAAATACCCTGTGCTGGCGGGGTCACGTTTTGCCCAGGGGATTAAAAGATACTTATATCGTAGATGATGTCACTAAGGTCTCCTGGGCAGAAAAGCTGCACACAAAGAAAGGAACAAATACTCTAGGAGAGAGAGGTCTGGTTTAGCATCCATCACCTTATTAGTAACTGTCCTCTTACCTGCGTGTTGAATGTTAGTATAAGATAATTGGGTCTCCCTATCCCCTCTCCATTCCTCTCCTCAGTAAGACGAGGTGCTCTTTAAGAGTGAGCCACTGTAAGACACCAGCCAGTCATTCTTGAGCTAAGAAGTGGAATATTTCCACCTATAATTCCTGACCTTATCCATGCTTTCTTTTCCTTAATTCAGCCTCCCCACCCCAAGCCCTGGCCAGGGGACCCTGACCTCCCTTGTCGTGCTGCCCTGGAAGTTTTCATCATCTCCCTGAGCAACTTGCTGTAATTTGGAAACTTCTGAAGCTCGAGCTCTTTCTTTCGTACCCAAAGACCTGGTCCCTTGGGTCTTCAGATTCCAGACAGGGGGCTGGGGACTGTCAAGGTGCCTAGTGGGTATTACATAAACTGTTCTCTCCTGCAAAGGTTTGTGACCCTTTAACATTCATTCTCTTGCTGTTTCCTGGGTGTTCAGTGTAGTCTCTGAATTTTAACACTCACACAGTGATGGTTTGGATGATATCGGGCTGCCTACCCTCACCTGAGAAGCCTGGAGCCACAGGAGCCGTGGAAATCGGGACATTTGTCCTCCGTGACACCCTTCAGAGGGGACGCAGGAATCACCACAATCGCACGCACTACTTCCATAGCAAAAATCTGAACGCTTGCACCAAATGATGTGATTAAAGACCACACCAAGATTCATCTCCTCTCAGCTTAGGTCTTGCTACCGAACAAATTTATGTTGAACTTAACCACAACAACAAACTTCTGGTTTTCAGAATTTTTTTAGATTTCTCCATTAGAGAGTAAAGGCTGGTGGATCTGTACTAACTTTCTCAATGTTTGAGAGCATGAGGGTGGCTTGGGGTAGCACGTACAAGAAGGAAACCAACGATGTGGTTTCAGGGGTCTGAGGTTTTCAGGAGCCTGATACTAAACTCTGGCAATTTCCTCTTGCTAAATTTTACTTTTCACAAGGGACAAGTCTTTTCCCCCCCCACAGAGAGACACTTGCAAATGCAAATACCACTGAGGGAGGAGATCTATTAACTGACATCACACAGTACACAAGGTCAGCTGTGCATTTAATGATAAGAGTCACTTTCTCTTTTGAGAACAGGAACTGGGAGATCAGGGGCCTGGGAAGGACCTCCACCACTTTGTCGAAGGACAGACCAGCCAAGGCAGGCTGCTGAAGACGAGGGGGGAGCCGCCTCCACCAGCGCAGCGCCAGCTCCTCCTTTGGGGAGTTATACCAGTTCCTCAGCTAAATAACATTGGTCAGTTCAGTCTGAGCTCAGAAGTGGGTCTGGCCACTTTGTCCTTTCTCTTAATACCCAGTAGGATTCTTGGTTGGATGTTAGAACATGAAGTTTAACTCAAGGTCACTGACTGCAAGCATTTGGTGCAATATGGGGTGGAAAAAGCAAATGTTTGGTTACTTGCACCACTCCCTTGCTGAGCGAACGTGGGAAAGTGGTAAGTCCTCCTGGAAACTTAGTTTCCACATCTGTAAAATGGGCTGATGGTGGCTCTTCTCCAGGATTGAAAGTATTCACGACACAGCGTGTGTAAAGCTTCCAACCCAGATTGCTGCGCATGCTGGCACTTGAAGAAGTGTAGGTTGCTTTGTTTGTTTTCGCTGCCCTCCCCTTGGGTTTAAAAGTGTATATCTCAACTGAGCCACTGGAACCAGCTCCTTGCCCCATCTCTGGCTTTCTCTGAAGCTAATAATGAGATTAGAGTGATCCAAGTTACAAGCCAAGGGCAGGACACCCCTTTCCAAGTCTGGGGAACATGGTGCTACTGACTCTCAGGTGCGAGCTGACACTTCGCCTAGTCACGATGAAATTCTAAAAAACTCTAAAGAATTTCCCCAAAGTAATCATCTCTGGATTTACTTGATGGAATAAAAAGTGAGAAGGTTATGTCCACAGCTCAATGTGGCATCTGATTATGTAAAATTCATATCCTTTGTCACATCTCTTTCTAACTAGAGGATTTAATTCAGGTCAAAAAGTATTACGTGTAAAATCAAGTTTGTTCATTAAAAGACTAAATTTGCAGTATTCCTCGAGGAGTGACTCTTACTTGAAGTAGGGCACGGAAAGGTTTCTTTGGTAAGCCCACTCTCCCCAGCCTTAGAAGGTAAGCCTCCCACACTGTGCGGATATGCGGATACACCACCGTTCTTCTCGAAATTTAGTAACCTAATTTTTTTCGAGAGCTGTGATTTTCACAAAATCCGGGACTCTACTTCCCTTAGAAAACATGTCTTGAAGGTGACGACTTTTCCTGCTCCCCACCTAGCCCCAGTTTAGCCTGGCTCCACAAAACACACCCCTGCCCCGGCACCCTCTACCCTCCCCTTGCTTCACCAGCGGCAGACCTTTTTGTCCCAGCAACCATAGAGAAGCTGTAACTTATTGGAAATTTGCTTTTCTTGCCACAAAAGTTTTTGGAGTAAAAATCTGAAGCACTTACCAGTCAGTGCAGGTGCCGGGATAAGGCGAGAGATGGGGAGGGCAAGCCTCCTCCCTGAAGCTGGGCCGGCTTCTCTGCAGCAGTGGCTGCTGCCGGGCTCCAGCTCCTCTTATCAAGGGACCAGCTGCCTCTGTTGCCATGGGGATGCTCCGTTTCACAGGCGCCAGGGCAAGGGGGATGGAGAGGGAAGGAGGACTGATCTAGCTGCTGCTCCCGACTGCAATAATTGTCTATTTCGAAAACACAATACAGAATTGTGCTTTGAGTACCTCGTGTGCAAGGCTGAAGAGATCAGACAAGCCAGCTCGACCCTTCAATCCCTGAAACAACCCTATGCAGTAGGGTTTTTTTTTTTTGTTGTTGTTGTTGTTTTTTGGCCTGACTGCAAATAGGGAAGGTGAGGCACAGATTACGTGACTTGCCCAAAAGACACCACAGCTAATTTTAACCCTCAAATCTACTGGAGATTAAATTCAAAACACTTTCACTCACCACCTGGGCCTCTCAGAGTGGTATCAGGGTGAGAAGAATAGCAATCACTGGCATTTACTCGAGGCTTCCCATGTGCGAGGCACCCTTCTTTACACCTACTGACTCATCTCATCTTCGTAGCACTCTTGCCAGAGAAGAGGCCGTCATCATCCGCATTTCACTGGTGGGGGGCCGACTTGATAAATCATCTGCGTAAGACCTCACTGTTAGAAAGTGGTAAGGCTAGAGTTTGAACTGGGCAATCGGAGGTAGAGGCCATGCTCTTAACCAATTGGCAGTACGGCTGGCCAAAAAGAGCATTTTGGAGAGAACAGCCCAGAGAGAAGAAAGCAGCATCACTATCTAGGTTGGGGTGTGGAGGCCAGGAAAAAGTTGTTCCTTCAGAGGAATGAAATCAAATGTTTTAATATGAGGAATTCACTCCAGGATGCTGAAGCCAGGCTGTGAGTGTGCTGTGGTGTCATACGGAGAGGCAGACTCTGTGTTTGGGGCAAGTTCACTGGAGGAAATGTCCTATGCTGATCAGAGGAGCAGTTTAGAATCAGTGATCTGGGCATGAAGAGCAGGAAGGTTAGTGTAGGGGATGAAGTAGGGATCCGCTGGAGGGGCTTAAGACCCCTGAGGGCAGCCAGAAGATCACGGGCCAATGACACCCAACAGCTAGTACTCACAGAAGAGGTATGAGTGCAATCCATGCATGCGGGTTCCTCACCTTCCAAAGGCTGCATGCAGGGCAGATGTTGAGAAGTCCCTCACTGGCTTCAACACCTGTTAGTCACCAGTATTGAGTGGTTCATTCCCCCTTTCCATTTTCCAGCATCCCAGAAATAGGGCTGGGATGATATTAAACTCATCCTGAGGTTGACTCCCAGGATTAGAATTTATTCAGAGGCCAAAGTCACAAATTGGCAGGGAGCAGGCTTCCTTGTTGGATCCAGTTTGTCTTGGTCCTTAGTGGAACCTCCTTGTAAGGGATGAAAGCATTACCAAAAAGTAATGCTCCTGGCTAGAAAGGGGGCTCTGGATGCTAAGAGAAAGTCCCTAGAAGCAGCTCTCTGTTCCCAACCATCTGCTTTATCTTCTTATTGACAGCCTTTTTGGCCAGTGGGTTAGCAGCATCTTTATTTCCAAACTTGAGTAGAAAAAATACACTTTGTTCCTAAACTCTTCACTTCTTTTTTAATATTAAACATTTTTTGAGATAATTTAGATTCACACACAGCTATAAGAAACAATACAGAGAAGCCTCCTGTACCCTTTAAGCAATTTCTTCCAACGGTACCATTTTGTAAAACTGGAGGACAGTATCTCAACTGGTATATTGGTATTGATACAGTCAAGATATAGGACAGTCCCATCACCACAGGAATTACTCATGTTGCTCTGCCTCCCATCCCATTCCTTATTCTCTTAGCTCCCACCCACTCCTTAACCCCTGCAACCTCTAACCCGTTCTCCATTTCTATATTGTTATTTCCAAAATGTTATATACATGGAATCATACAGTACAAAGTTTTTTGGATTTGACTTCTCTGCCCGCCCCCCCCTGCCCCCCCCCCCGCCCCGGCCCAGCATTATTCCCGGTGATTCATCCAAGTTGTTCCTTTTTAATTGCTGCCTAATATTCCATGGTATGTACCAACATGTAAGCATTCACCTGTTGTAGGGCATCTGCATTGTTTCTAGTGTTTGGCTATTACAAATAAAGTTGTTAAAAAATTCGTGTATAGACTTTTATATTAATGAGAATATTCATTTCTCTGGGATAAATGTCCAGGAGTGCAATTGATGGCTAGTATGGCAGTTGCATGTTTAATTTTATAAGAAATTGCCAAACTGTTTTCCAAAGTGGCTCCACCATTTTATATTTCCACCAGCCATTTATGAGTGATCCAGTTTCTCTGCCTACTTGCCAGTATTCAGTGTTATTATAATTGTTTAAAGTCATTCTTATAGGCGTGTAGTGCTATCTCATTGTGGTTTTAACTTGTATTCCCCTGCAGACTGATGATGTTAAACCTCTTTTTGTGAGTTTATTTACCATCTTTATGTTTCTTTGGTGAAATGTCTCTTCATGTCTTTTGCTCATTTTCTAACTGGATTGTTTATTTGTTTTTTGTTTTTACTGTTGAGTTTTAAGAATTTCTTATGTATTCTAGATACTAGTCCTTTATAAGAAATATAGCTTTGCAAATGCTTTCTCCCAGTTTATGGTCTGTCTTTTCAAACTCCTAACAGAGTCTTTCACAGAGCAAAAGTATTAAATTTATATTACGTCTCATTTACCAATACATTTATCAATAAATTTTAAAACATATATAGTTGAGAATATTTCTGAAGCTCTTCAGAAAAGCTGAACTGTTAGGAATTTTAAAACACTCATTTGTCACTTAATTTCCCCAACTCAAAGGGAATATTTCAAAGAAAGAAGAGAGTATGAATTGCTTATTTCCTTTTTGGATGGACATATGTACTTATCCCAAGTTCAGGGTGTTGTGGTGGTAGTGTTTTTTTCCCAGGGCTTTCTACAAACACTTTAATTGATTATGCCCAACCCCCTCCCCCCTTTTAAGGCAGATGTAAACAGCAACTGAGATGGCAGATGGTAATGTAAATCTATACCTCAGAGAGCTCTAAATAACAGCTACATATGTGCAGTGTTGAAGTCATAGACCCCTTGGCCTACAAAGCTCCGAGTGTAAAGTGCAAGGAGCCATTGTGTCCATGACATGATTTGTAGGTCCAAGAGCCCCTGATGTGTGGCTCAATTGGCTTCTGGCTTCATTCCTGATGGATGGCTAATGGTAACTAGCTTTAAATGAATATATTTTCATTTTAATCACAAATATTCAATCTTTACGAATGAGAATGATCACAGTGATGAACATTTCCAGACAATTTATTTTAGTCAATAGCCTATCAAGTGTGCACTTGAAATATTTGCCTTCCAAAATCAATCTAAGGCAGTTTCTGTGTTGAGGGGTGATGGGACTCTAGTTTCCCAATCAAGGGACAGAGAGAGAGAGGAGAGAAAGAGAGAGAGTGTGTGTGTGTGAAAGCAAGCTCACTGAAAATTTGCAGGCTGGTTTTATCCCAGACATCTCGCTAGATCTCTTTGGTTGTCTCTTTCAGCCATTAGAGAGGAGAAATAACTGTTTTAGATCAATATTTTCTGGTAAATAAATGTCTATGTCTTTGCTTTGGGCAGTTCTGAATAGCTTTTAGCTCTTGGTAACAGAAGATTATTTGAATTAATCAATAAATTCTGATATCATTTATTCTCATTGGATTAAAAATGAAAAACATTCAACATTTCAGGAATTAACTACCAAATACTTAATAAGTGCTTATTGAAAAGAGAGATAATGTTATTTGTTTATTTGAAATAATTAGAGATGTACATGAAATAAACAAAGAGATAGATATACTGTCTTTTGTGCTGTTGTTTGCTGGTTTCGCTAATTAGTGCTGACCTTATATAATGCCTTGGGAAGTATTCCTTTTTCTTTCACTTCCTGGAAGAAACTATGATAAGCTGGTGTTGTCCTATTCAGATGTTTAGTAGATTTTCCATTAAAACCATCCGGGCCTAGAAAATTCTTTGGGGAGCCTTCAAATTACAAATTCAACTTCTTTACTGATTCCAGAACTATATTTCATCTTGGTTAAATTTTGGTAGTTGGGTGGTTTTTCAAGGAATGGTCCATTTCTTCTAAATTATTGAATGTATGAGCATAAAGTTGTTCCTTTGTTATCTTTTCAATGGCTGTAGGATACATAGAGATACTCCCTATTTCATTCTTGATTTTGATGATTTGTGCCTTCTATTCTCATCAGTTTTGCTAAAGGCCTATCAATTTTATTGATTTTTTCCCCCAAAGAACCAGTTGTGTTTCAATGATTTTCTTTATTCTTTTCCTATTTTCAATTTAATTGATTTCTGCTCTTATGTGTATTACTTCTCCTTTTCTGCTTGCTTTGAATTTATCTTGTCTTTCTTTTACTGGTTTCTTGAGGTAGGAACTTAGGTTACTGATTTGAGACCTTTCTTCATTTTGAATGTAAGCACTAATGATATAAATTTCCCTCTCAACACTGCTTTAGCTGCATTCCACATATTTTGATATGCTATAGCTTTTTAAATTTAACTTTAGGTATTTAAAATATTTTTTCAAACTTCTCTTTTGATTCATGGGTTATTTAAAAGTGTGTTATTTAATTTCCACATGTTTACAGATTTTTCTATTATCTTTCTGTAGCTGATTTCTAGTTTGGTTCTACTGTGGTTGGAGAGCACACTTTATATAATATCAATTCTTTTAAATTTGGAGGCTTTTCTTATGGCTCAAGAAATAGTCTATCTTGGTAAATATTCTATGATTTCTTGAAAAAATGTATATGGAGTGTTCTATATTTTTCAGTTAGATATTGTTCATTGATTGTGTTGTTTAGATCTTCAATTTCTTTGATAACTTTTTTCTAGTTGGAGAGACAGGAGTGTTGCAGTCTCCAACTTTTATTTTGATTTGTCTATTTCTCCTTTCAATTCTGATAGTATGTGCTTTATGTGT